CGTAGGAACTTGGTGTGCGAACTTTCTTTTGGAAATTGCGTCTGCAGCAATTTGAGATGCGATACCAAGCGCGCAAATGCCTGCTTCAAATCTTTAGTAAAAAATGGAACACCGCCATTCGGCACTGCCTTCGGGAATCTCTGGTCCTTCACAGTGCTTGCATAAGCATGTGCGAAAGGACCAGAGTCCTTGAAGGCAGCACTTATCGGCAACACATGTTCCTTCACCCTTAGATCCGTGCAATACCGCTCATAATTGTCAAAAAAGTCATCGGACTGCGGCGCACTCTGCCGGACTGCGCTGCAGTGCGCCGGAGTGCGACGCAGTCTACTAGAGTGCAGTGCAGTGCGCCGGAGTGCGCCGGAGTGCGGCAGAATACGCCACACTCCACTAGAGTCTGCCGGAGAACAGCGGAGTGCGCCGCACATCACCAGAGTCCGTCGGAATCCGCGTCGCATGCCATATCTCGCTCCAGAATGGACGAATTCTGAATCGAGGACACCGTTCGATTCAGCTCGGCGAGGCGCATCATACAGTATGTAGAAGTGCCACAATCTGTCGATGTACTGTACGTATACGGTGGCAGTAAGTTTTCGCTCAGTTTTGCACATTTTCGTTTGGTTAGATTAATCAGTGTGCTAAAGGCAACATCGCCATTGATTTGTCGCTGATGACACATAGAAAGTATGTAACTGCGAGCCAGTGTCTAGTGGTATTTTAAAGTTCCCACCTTGATAACGGGACACACGAAGAGATTGAAAACAAAAAAAAATCATGCAAAACAAATAGGAACAACGGCCTCAAGGCCAACAACGAACGGAAAACAACAAGAAAAACACGAAATCGGGGGAATATCCCGATTTGTCCCTCCAGCAGGGCTTTGCACGGTCACGGTCGGGTCAGTCCTCGGTAAGTTTACACGTGGGAGGTCTGGCTCTTTCCTGACCAGTTTTCGACTCCCGCAAGCCTCTTCTACTCGCGGCTCCCTCTCTCTTCCCCTTTTATGCCCTGCTGAGAGGTCAAATCGGCCTCTTATTTTCCCGCCACAAAATATCGGTAGATCGGTGATCCTTTCCATCCAACAAGTATACTGTAGGAGTATGGCAGAGAGTCGCTCTGATCGAATTTGCAGACAAATGATGTGCCTTTCTTCTTCAGGGTGTCCAATGGCCCGCAGAGTGAACGCATCCTTGGCACGAAAGACGAGTAAAACGAAACCACCCCAAGGTAAGATTCGTGCTGCTTCACATCCTGGGCGGTGGCATATGGGCGATGGCTGCAATCCTCTCGGGATCGGGGCGTCTTCCTTCGGCGTCGACAATGAATCCGAGAAATACTATGCTAGGTTTAGCAAAATGACACTTTTCACGGCGAACACGCATTCCACAGTCTTGAAGACGTTGGGAATAGCTTGAAGACGTTCGCATCGTGTTCCTCACGAGTCCTTCCGGTGACTACAACATCGTCCAGATAGGCAACGCCTCCACTGATGTCGGCGGTGACGTTGTTCATCAACGACTGGAATATCCCGGGGCGTTCTTCACACCAAAAGTAGTCGGTTATAGCGGAAAAGTCCATGGGATGTGTTGACGGTCAGTAATTCCTTGCTCTCGTCGTCCATTTCTACTTGCAAATAGGCGTCACGCAGGTCGATGTTGGGGAAGACGGTTTCCCCATTCAGCTTGGTGAAGACGTCTTCCGCGGTTGGTAGTGGGTGTCGGTTCAGCTCCAACGCGTCGTTCAGCCCAGTAGAGAAGTCGGCACAAATGCGTACAGCCCCATTCTTCTTCCTGACTGGAACAATGGGAGCGGCCCACGGAGTAGTCGACGCGTGACAGCACTCCAGTAGCGACAAGGCGGTCCAACTCTGCGTTGACGAGAGGTTCTACGGCAAACGGTACCTTCCTTTCGTCACGTAGACGGGTGTGGCATTCTTATTCAGCACAAGGTGATCTTGGTCATTGCCTCACAAGAGAAGGATATTTGGTGAACGTGGTCTTTTGAAATCATAACTTATAATAACGGGCTAAGGATGTTTACGTGACTTTGTGTGTGTGTCTGTCTGTGTGTGTGTGTGAGAGTGTGTCTGTTACGAAATTCGTGGAGCGTGTTCCCGCCAGCGTTCTAAGCCCAAATTTTGCATAGCGCATGCTACCTTCATGAAAGTTCAACATGCAAAAGCATGAGTAAATTCGTTGAGTGGATCCCTCAGAAACTGCGCGCCAAACGGGTCCACCTGGCCTCTGTGCCGCAAAATTCGGTCCGTATCACCACTTTTTGCAGAGTCGTGGATGAACTTGGTAAGCAATTGTGCAAGCGATGGAGCTTAGCCCGAGAAATGGTCGAAAGTTTATTATATAACGAAAACGGCGCCAAAAAGAATTGGTTGTGTAAATGGTCAATTTGCCAAGGTTCTAGCTAGGCGTTTGAGAAGATTTTCGCACAGGGATGTAGCTCACGGCTACTATTACCTTTATGGCGACTACCAAGCCATGACATATTCAAATTTGCGTTTGTCTTCCTGCGAAAAGTTTCATCCACGCGAAATCACCGATCTCACGTGAAAAAACTTTCTAAATGAGTGATTGTTTACATTTTATTCATGGTAGTCGGCATAGCGCGGTGAGTTCCAGTGCCACGATTTTACGAGAATGAGTAAGGCACATAGATAGTAGAGCCAGTGCGAGCCTCTGCGAAGCAGAGGTGACGCACTGGTGAAACATAAGCCACTAAATGCATCTTAAAGCGCTGATTTTAAATTTGTCTTCGGTATCTGCTGTGCGCTTTTCCAAAAGAAATTATGAACAATTCTTGCCACAAAAATTGCACTGGTTTTGATGCAGGAATCAGCAATATCGTTAGAATTTTGGCTTACGCACTATAAAAGAGCGTACTGATAAAGTAAAGCTTAACGTTAAGCTCAGGAAAACTGTCCCCGACATGTCAGAGTCTAGAAGGCCTGGGAATGGAAAAAAGTCCATAATTTTGTTCAGAGAGTCGCACAGCAGATAATGAACATAGATTCGGAATCAGCGTTTCAAGGCGCATCTACAGGTATGCATCTCATTGCAAAAGGCCGCGGTCACCAAGTATCCTTTCCTTGTCAGACCCCTATAACATTACACAACTTTCACACTCGATGTTAAAGGCAGCGTCCGGGCAGAATTTTGAACAAAATTTTTGCGCTTACCTGGGCTTATCCTTCCTGCTGAATGCGAAAATGCAGCTTGCAGAGTACGAAAATGTCGAAAACGGACTGTTCCGGAAGCCCCTGTTTTTGAATTTGGACGCTTGCCGCCGAGCTTAAAGGCAGCGTACACCCAAAATCTGAGTTGCCTAATTTTCTAAATTTTTCTATACCGTGTATATACTGGGCCCAGAAGGAGACCAACTGCGTTGGTCCGGTCTCCCAATGTTGCTTCTGAGCGGAGAAAACCCCCCTCAATTTTCTTTCATTCCGCCCCTTTTCTTTCACTCCGCCTCCTCTGGACGAATCCACGACAGCGTAAGCTGCAGTTGCAGTTGCAGTTGCAGTTGCTTCTTGCGTTCTGCCTCCTTCGGACGACGAATCCACGACTGCATACGCAGCATTTGCAGTTGCAACTACAGGCGTCATGCTGTTGCAGCTGCTTTTCGATTGCATTCCGACGGGGCCGAGCAGTTGGAAACTCGTCCTCCCTTTGAAGAGAGGGTCCTCGGAAATCGTGGTTTTTTGGGACTTTTGGAGGATTTCAATGTCATAACTGTAATCAGCGGCACGGAAAGGCCCCAGAATGACAAAAACATCGAAGGTGAAACTTTGGGTGTACGCTGCCTTTAAAGGCAGTGTCCAGGCAAAAACTCGATTTTGAGATTTTGTGCTTACTTGGGCCTATTCGCTACGCTGAATCCGAAAATGCACATTGTAGAGCGCGAAAATGGCGAAAAACGGCTCTAACACAGGAGGGAAATGAGCAGGTGGGCGGGGTCCTCCCCACTGCAAATTCACGTTCCCAGCTTCCGGAGCGACCTTCTCGCTTCCGGTTTCAAGTCAATCATCCGCACTTAGCCGGTAGAGATGTTAGGACGGCTAGCGGAATCGAGGGAATCGCTTCGGGAACTGGGAGCTGAAATCGCACTGGGGAAAGCCCCGCCCACCTGCTTATTCCCCTCCTGCATTAGAGCCCTTTTTCGCCGTTTTCGCGCTTTCCAATGTGGATTTTCGGATTCAGCATGGCGAATAGGCCCGTATAAGCACAAAATCTCAAAATCGAGTTTTTGCCCGGACACTGCCTTTAAGACGCAGAGTCGTGGTAGATCCTACGCCTTGACTGTGTGTGATATAGGCACTCTGGCTATCGATTGAGGGGGCGGGCAGGTCGCCGGGGCGTCTTGGTCGCCACTCTGGAGCGGATTTCTCGCTTCAGAACCAAATTGAGGCAACTCTACTTGCGCAATGCTTCATATCGGGGTGAGAGCTGCAGAAATCTATGTTTTTCTTGTGGTGGTCAGACCTGCCCGGACGCTGCCTTAAGCACCTTTATTCCAAATCTTCTCGCATTCTTCTCATAAGTTCACAACTCACATTCTTGCAGAAATTCGCATTAACGGGAAAGAGATTACGTGCAGGCAGTGGCTTGCCATTCTTCTAATTCTCCTCATAGTGGCTTAGCAGTCGCTGAATAAGTTCTAGGCTCGGATGTGTGTAAGCTTGCTCCAAAAACGTAAACAAAACCAAACAATATTATTCTCTGACATTTCAAAGCTCAGTCCACAATTGAGAGAGACGAAGATTACAACATCGTGGCAGATCGTTCTAGCGAAGTCGATCAAAAACGGAATCAACCATTAACAGCGATAGGCAACAAAAAGACTTACTAAGAGCAGTGAAACATTGAGAAAGTTAAACAAATGCGAAAGAGAGAATTGGGATTTTACTACCAGTTTAGCAAGGCTGCCATGAGATTTTTGATGTATTGACCACGGTATTTGCTACCTAATGACAGTTTTCTTGACAAATTCTAACGTATTTGGGTTTTGTCGAAGCCTCTTCTGTATCTCATGATAGTGTAGAATGTGACAATGGCAGCTAATAGAGTGGATCCAGTGCCGAGGGATGTGAGAATGGCGGCAGCACGTGAGCTGACGCAAACGGCATCGGTTTGCATTCCGACAAGGGCAGATCCGAGACGAAGACGAGCCGGAGTGGAGGGATCCTGAAGGAACGAGTAACGTCATCAGCTGCGGGTTTTACATGAGGAGGAGGAGGGGGGGGGGTTACCTCTTTGGCGTTCTCTTCCAAATCGAGAACGGTGATTTTTTGGGCTGATAAATCCATGGTGTTATCGAGATGAACCCATGAAGAGCGAGTGCTGTTTCGAAGTTCAGAAGCGGAACGAACCAGACGTAGATGCTGCTGCTGAGCGACTGGTCCACATCTTGGGGGCTAAAATGGGTTTGGGACGAAGTGGTCACCAAAATTTCAAGAGATTCATTATAGCTTACTGTCTTTCCTTCGCACATTCCTTCAGAGATCATGCAAGTGCTTACTGCGCATTGGAAGTATGTCGTTATCTGAATAGCTTATTGAAGGTCGATTCAAAATTGGGGAACTAGGATCATGAATACTTTATCGGCAAATTTGAAGACGTTGACTTGTGCATATGCCAGATTATTCTCCTTGTTGTAAATTAGATCGGGAACGATGACGGGATCGATCGCGCACCTTAAAACAGCAATGATCGTCTATAGAGGGATAGCGGAAGAAAATATAAATAGAAAATGGGTCGAAGTAGACAGATTCGACCTCAAACCGTAAACAAATAATAGTTCAGTGGGGCGCGGCGAATGAGCATCAAAACTCCGTTCCAAGAAAGAGCTTCAAACGTTATTTTCTTTTTTGAATTTTTGCGGGTAGAGAAATTGATGGGTCTATTTTGCACTGCGGTCTAAACTGCTAAAGAAGTTCATTACCGGCTGCTTACCCATGCTCATCAAGGAATGGTTTTCGATCCTGTCCGTTGCTGTCATCGACGAAGCAGCTATGCACCAACATCGAGAACATGTCTGGGTATGCTTTTTCCAAAGCTCTCATTCCTTCATTCATTTCCAAAAACGATCTTACCGCTCTCACATTGCCAAACGTGGAATACCGGATCGCCAACTTGAGCGTACTGTACGATAGGGCCAGTGATAGATTCGCGTCGCACAGAGTATGTGCAAAGAGGCATCCGTGCTGTGTCGATAAGATCTGTCGTTGGTAGCATACTGTAACGCAAGGAGGCGATTACAGTATCTCAGAAGGCGTGCCCTAATTGGCTATCCCATTTCCTTACCTGACGTCAAATCTGCTTGTGACGACTTTGTCCGCTTCCATGTAGAAGCATGTGCATCTGTATGCCCTGTCCACTTTTGTAATGAAAGTTGAATGGAAGGATATGATGATTGTTATTGACTGCTCAACACCCCGTTGTTCTGGGCCAAGCTGAATTTTGTTCACTTCTACATACGATAACGAACTCTCTTATTTAGTGCTCTTTTTCACTTTTCTCCTTATGAGTAAGAGCAGAGTCGCAGAGACACAGCTGGTAGGGATAGATACTTGAGTAGCGTGCGACTCAAGGTCAGCGCTCGCTTTGCACAGTTGAGCTAGGAGTTGTGGCGGGTAAAAAAATTGCTCAGTTTGATATCGTGTCTCAACAGCCTCTCAAGTGTGAAATACGAGAAAAAATTGCAAAAATAATTTGAACCTCAAGCACCTCACGGCAAAAAATGAGCTCAGGTTTTAGAATTGTGTTTGCAAGAATTTGTCTACATTTCCATAGAGATCAAAAAACAAGTAGAGCCAAAGCGACACGAATACGAGTAGGGGAATGTATCAAAAATCTTGTTGAGGATAGATTGCTTCTCCTTGCCAGTAATTTACAGATCATTGACCCCTTGAACTACTTAAAATGCTTTCTGTTCAGAATTCAGAAGCAAATCAGTGGTGAATTGACAGATAGGTTTGTATATATGACTCTTGTGAAATATGCAGGTAACTTCTGCTCTCACAAAGTGACGTTCTAAATATGAACGATGGAGAATAAAATAGCGCTAAAATGTGATAAATCTGGCCTACTATAAGTTCCTCATGGGCAATCTTTGGGAGATGTGAGGCGGAAAAAGTATAGATTTATACTCTCAATTCATTCTTATCTCATGCGTCTTCTCACTTCTTAGACTTGTAAAGTTCAGAGAGTTCTTACAATACATTATTAGCAGATAGCTCACCATTCTTGTACGCCGCATATTACACGCTCCATTCTCCAGTTCGAATACAACGTCTGGATTCGTGTTACTGAGGTAGCTGCTTACGCATGCTTCCTAAATAAAGAAATGAAGAAAAAGATAAAAGGAGAATGAATCTCAAATAGACAGTCTTACTTTATCAACCATGCCTTTAACGAAGATCCTTCCCTGGAATGGCCGTTGAGTCTTGAAGGTTAAACGCACTCTATCCTCCATACAATCCACTTCGGGTAGACCTTAGATGCAATTTTCAAAATTAAGTAAACAGAATGAATTCAACTATTATTAAAACATACTGGTAACACCATTGTCGAGGATGGGCGGTGACGTGACTCCCCACGCAGATACGGTAGCGAACAGCGTAAATACTGCAAGGCGGAAGCACATCACTGTTCACCGTACCTACTCCGAATTGCGCCACTTTAATAGTCGGCACGGGACCCGCCCATTTTCGGGTGTGCCAACGAATTGTGGCACGAGACGGGGCGTGTCATCCTTTTAGCACCGTATTGACTCTACGAATTTTCAAGTGCCCACTTAAAAAATGGTACATGTACTTAATTTGCACCCATCTCTAGACAAATTTAGCCTCTTTTTGTTGTGACACGGCACGAGCTTACATTTTTTTTAGTACCGAGAGCCATGCAAATAACGATGGGGACTTAGCATAGCAAGGCAGAAGCTGTAGGCAAGGCGCAAGGATAAGTGCTGTGTTGTTTATCCTGTTTTATTTTGCAAGAAAATATCTACAAAATGGGTTTTTAAACCCCCAGAGCTTTGAAACAAAAACATATGCTGTGTTTCTCATCTTGATGGTAATGATAAAATTCGTCTCTAAAAAATGCTTCATACCATACAGTTTAATGTCTAACGCTCTAAGTTTGAAATTGAGAGTTACAATTCTCTCATGGTGATTTTAGCCCAACTATCTTCCTGTTGAGAAGCTTAATTACTCAGCATAAAAGCCCTCTCAAATTACCCAGAATAATTCGCAGCGAAATCCAACTATGAAGTTGAAATTAGTAAGAACTCTCCGAACACTCCAAAACTTATTTTTGTCCAAATTATTTGTCACAACTTATGATTCACAGAAAACGACATCCGTAAGCTACAGATCTCCAGTTTCATAAAATCAAAAACAGAAATGCGTCAAAGTCTTAATTAATTTCAAACAGTAATTTCAAAGTCGCAAATATGCGCGCAAGATGAAAAAAATAAGCTTTGCAGCTTTCTGCATCTAGATACTGACCCTAATCTATTGGGCCTTGATGTAGATTGTCAGGTTGTTTACACCTTGGATCACTTGCCTTTTTTAGTATGTTCTAAATTACTTACTTTCTGTGCTCAGTCCCTGGGGCTGTTTGAAATTTAAGAAAGGAAACCAGTGCCTCAATTTATTGCCTTCTGAACTGCAGCTTTCTAAAATGATGTAGAAAAGAATCCGTTCGTTGTCAGCAACCCAACACGTACTCTCAATCCGTTTCAGTCTCGTAATTTTCTTCTAGAAGCCTCCTATATCCAAGAAGCAGAAAATGTGACGGTTATATCACTCTGTACCATGCTAATTCACCTTCTTCGTTGTACACATCAAAAGAACATTTCGGGATTGTTTTTACAATCAAAGATGTATGAAACCTCTTATTGTTATCCGAATCGCACTCTTGTGCAATTCTGGCAAGCGTTTGTTTGCTCAGCACTCCCTTGACCTCGGTTTCACCTCCTAAGGTCCGAGAGCACTCTTTCGCTATATTTCACACTTTTGGGATTGAAGAAATATTCGGTTGAATTGCTTGAAAGGCCCAAGCAAGCATTTCGTGGCTGCTCAGTGTAAACGACATCAAATCACCTATCGTTTCCTTGTTGGTCCAAATCTTATAAACATGCATGCAAGCAGCATACTAATTTTGAGAACTTTGTCTCTAGCACCAATTATGCGAGAACAATTTCAGTGCATTTCAATCTTCAGAACACCCTAAATTCTACCTGTTTTTTTGTGCGATAGATTATGATTACATTATGAGCCAAATTTTTGAAGCGAAAATTTTGCACATACAGCTTATCCTGAAAGGAGTGAAAGCGAATATTTTCAAATGCAAGCGTACCATTTGCAAAATCTTAGGGGTGCTTATATGCGATTTACTTCATTGAAGTCATTGAGCCACATATTGAGGTATGTAGTTATCTATCCATCACGATTATTCCCATGTGATCGTTCTTATTTTTATCACTTTTTGTTCATCAACTTGGCAGATGATTACTCTAGATAGCAATTCACTAAAGATTATCATCCTCATTTATCACCTTTCTATCCTTAGCAGCAAATCAATAAGCGCCGTCAAAGTCTCATAAGCACTTTAAAAATATATCTGAAATTTAAAAAAGACACTTCGATTTTTGCACTAAAAACCGCGCCATATGTTTCCGCTTACTTGGTGCCAGATCATGTTCGAATTTAGCGATGTTTCTAGCTATAACACTTCATTATTCAGCCATTTGATATAAAGTGCTTATACAGGGTGTCCCAAAAAATGTGCCTACTTTTTGATTGTTATTCACTCTCTTGTCATGTAGTCCTTCGGAAAGCTATAGGTGCCTTTTGAGAGCTGACTTCAACTTAGATTTACAGTATAGAGCAAATCATCGATCGCTCTTCATTGCTGTAAAATTACTGTAGGAACTTTGACGAAGGTTTTGAGCCGTAGAGGGCTGTATATTGATCTTAGAAAAAAAAACAAAGCGATCAAGAACTTTTATACTAGACTAATTAGAGTTGCTGTTTCTGAATATGAACTTCGCATCTCATCATAATACTTCCTTAAAAAGCTATGCCAGGTAAGCAGCGACAGCCATTATTTCGTTGTTCCTGAAAGATGTGGTTACGCCGTCTAGAAAGCTTCAAATTCTTGAACAAAGTTCCATGAGTACCCTATCGCACAAGTTTTAGGTCTTTTTTGAAATTATTTAAAACGCCTTCTTTTTCTCACGCCATACGCTGCAAGTTCCTACCGTCCTCCTACAGTAATGAAGAGCGTTCGGTGATTTGTTGCATACTGTAAATCTAAGTCAAAGCCAGCTTTAGAAAATGCTAAAAGCTTCTCGAAACACTTTAGAACAAGAAGGTTATCAACAGTTAAACAGCAGGCACATTTTTTTGAAAAAACACCCTTTATATCATTATCAAATTCCAAGTAGCAGGGGCAGGGAAATGAATACATCATGGCGCTGCGGTATTATTTTATGACTTCTCGTTACCACTGAACATTGTTATCTGCATCAAGCACTCTCAGTAAAAGGAAATGGGACTTCAATCTAGTGGCCTGGTTTAGATAAATTGCATCTCAAAATTTTTGAGAAGTCAAAAGCCTGTGCATTAGAGGTGCGGAAGTATGCAGAAGCACAGACCGTAGTATTTCGTGATAATTCAGCGCTTTATTTTATAAATGCTTTTTTTGCCATACACAGTTTCCACACTAGATGTCATGACGAGTACGCGATGAAACTAAAGGAGATTTCTTATATCGTCGCTCATTTCTCTAAACTATCTCCATGACCAGACCAGGCTCATAAAGAATGGAACAAGTACAATGTTTTGATGACACTACCATGTAAAACATCCTTATTGAAATGTAGGCTAATGCACTGTCCGTCTAGGCTGTTGTCCGAACCTCTCAGAAGTGCGACGATCTCGCATCGGAATGGCCTTCTAGCATTTGTGTACTCAGCGCCCATCACCAAGGCTACGCCATTCTTAGTTCACTTCCACTCATTTATGTTAAGAGACAGGTAGAATATTTTGGATATTGCCAATGAGGAGAAATGGTTTGGGGAGGGGGGGGGGGAGGGGTGAGGGAGGAAGTTGGAACTCTTGGAGATCGGGCCAATAAAATTGGAAGTCAAATTCAACTAACGAGGTAGTATCATTGTTCATTCGTTTGGATAAAAATTTCAAGAGATCTGCTGCATGGTAAGCACTGCTGATTCTTTGATCAATAAAATTTGTGGGTGACAGCGGGGAGGAGAGGGGGGGGGGGAGGAAATAGCTTAAAAAAGCCTTTGACGATGACCTCCACAGATCAATTTTTCCATGTTTACTTAGCTAGCTTTGAAATGCATGCCTTTTTCAGTTAATATGTTCCTAAAAGGTGAATTGCGTGCTTGACAAAAACTGTAAACATGATAGGGCATCCTTTGTGATGAGATAAACTCTGTCATTTCTACGTTAGTGTAAGTAATGAGTACAAGTCATCAGTATAAGTCAGGTTCACGTAGGACAACCTCCCAGGGTGAAAACGTCCAGAGCGAGTTCCTCCTTTAGTTTTTGAGAGGTCCAAAGTAGAGACTCTGATGGGGATGTCTCCCAGCTCTGATGTTATCATCAACTCTATTCACACAGACAAGAATGCAAATGTTAAAATCTCCATTATCAGCTTGACCTTGATTTTTACGGGTACACTTCATCTTCTTCCAACAACCTTCAAAGCACTGTAAAAGGGAAAGTAATTCTTAGCGAGCAAGATCACTATATTGAGTTGAAACTTACTGGCGCATATAATTTATTCTTCTGTAGTTCACATATCTGGTCTTCCCTTTCGTCACGAAACACGAGAAAAGTCCACATCCCGCAGCAATGTTTATGTGAACCAGGAGCAAAACGAAGAACTTGTGAAACATTAAACTCTGGAATACATACATATAACATTCCTGGATCAGGCTGCTGCATAAGTTCTGTCCGATTCAAATTTTCGAATACATATCACAACTTCTTTCAAAATCGACTTTTTCCATAATCTTCGTTACTCTGTGTTGAGCGGTTCCTTAGCTATCAAATAAATACCAGTGTTTGAAAAAAAGCCTTTCAAAAAAGAAGCAAGAACTCAAAAACTTTTCACGTTCTTCTCTTCAAACCTTCTTTTTTGAATGGCAATGCTCCCTTACAAGAACAGTTATGGATAGAAAGAGAAAACCTGGAAGAATATTCTGCAGCCTACAAGTGCCCATAGGATCTTCGGATGCTTGAAGATTTTTTGACCGGATAAAAACGAAGCCGTTTTTTAACCTCGTTTTAGTACATGTAGGTATGCCAACTTTCAAATTATGAAAATTTTACACTTGCCGCGAGGGGTGAAAAGTAACTGGTTAGCTCTGCTAGCTCTTGCTTTACTTTAGCACATCCAACATTAGAAACATCGATCGCTTCTAATCACGTTACATGAAAATGAGTATGTACATATATTGGACTGTTTCACCCTTGTTTCATGGCCAGTAAAACGACTTGACTCAAGGAACATACTGTGGAGATTTTCTCGCAAGAGTATCTTCTTACAAGGAAAGGATACTAACTTAAATTCGACTTTTGAGATGAAACACATATATTTGGAATCAGCTTG